AATGGATTAGTAGCTTCATTAGTGCTTTATTTAATTTATTTATTTCTACTAATTGTGAGGGAAACACTGGTTTTGAATTAAGGATGCCTACAGAAAAGAGGATTAAGCCTGGAAACCAAAGCTAGGGCAAAATGAAAACCTGATACTTTGGCTCTTGAGAATTTATTTGCAAATTCCCAACAAGAACATTTCTCTATACCCTTTACCACTATCTTTTTAGTTAGACACATTTTTGGTTGTTTTTTTGGGGTTTTTTTTTTTTTTATATAAGAGTGAGAGAGTAAAAAGAGAGAAAGCAGCAACAAAAACATGCATTTGATTAGCAGCCATCTGCATTAATTGTGATAAGACTTTCCCTTGGTTTATTTATTTATTTATTTTTGCTCCCTAGTCATAGTCAAATAGCACATACTGGCTAGCATTATAGAGTATTCTGACAGAAGTTTTATGGTGCTGCAACTCACTTTTCTTCTCGGGAGTAAGGAGATTTTGAAGCTCAGGTCTACATGCATAAATTCCTAATCCAGCTGTCTGGGGATCCACAGGAAGAGAAATTTCAAACCTGTAGGTTGTGATCTCAAAGCAGTATATTAGCTCCTTCCTCTCCCATCTGCATAGCCCTTCCAGAAACTTTTCTGTAACCGCCTTTTAACAAAGGGAATGGAGTACAATGAAGCCATAGTGGTTCTGCTCCTTCCTTTCAGATTATGTTACTTTTTACTCTGTTTTGAGCCCCTGGATTTTTTAGGGCACACAGTGGCACTGCTTTGAGATGACAAAGAAATCTACTCTGCTACTCGATACGACATGGAGCCCCCAGCCACATAAGCACCTGTGCAATTTTACATATGTATTTACACAGGATATGTGCTTGAATTGAAAGCATAGGTGTTTGCAGATTCACTACTGCTAACTCAGGAGGTACAACAGAAGAGGGATCACTCTGCATTAGCCCTGTTTCTTACACTAAAGAACCTCTTTCTTGCTGCTGTCAGAGATAGGGATACTGGCCTCGGTGGCCCTTTGGTCTGACCCAACGGAGCAAATGTGTTCTCAACTGAAAAAGTGAAGAACCATAATGCTAAGCAAGTTTTAAATTCAGTACACACATTGTAACCATAGTTAGCAGAAGTATTTAAGTATAGTTACTTGAACCCCATCTGGATGGCTGTACATTTTCAATTGCTAATTATTGGCAATGTGAAGGTAATAATTGGCTCTTAGTGGATCTGAAGTCTGAATGTTGCTGGAGAAAGTCAGTAAGATGTACAGCTTAATAAATGCACTGCTTTGATTCTGCATAACTCACAGTTTCAATGTAGTATATCGCTTCATAGAAAAAAAAAAATCAAAGCTCCATCAAACAAAAAAAAAATTAAACTACAGAATATTTCTGACCTATTAATTTTTCCTGATAATGAAGTGCTTTGGGATGATTTCTAAAACTCACTTTCATTTTGATGCTTCATTTATTTTAATCTAGGAAATAATTAGAGGGAAATCAAATCCATCCCCACAGCAGAATATTCACCTGTCTAAGAAGCAGCTCATTTGCAGCTAGTGATTTCTTTCTCAATTTTTCCCCATGTGTTCAAACTGGGCGTTACATCCCATGCTAAACTTTATTTAAATCAATGTTCATTAACAACTTATCACTAAAACTAAACTCCAAGGTGTTTGATGAATGGGTGGCTTTCAAAACAGGAAGGCCTGTGTGTGTCACTTGTCTGGCTTGAAGGGGCCAAACAATGTTACAAACATGCAGTCAACAGGAACTGGAATAGCAGTGATACTGCAAAGAATAGACAATGTTGCTTAATCCCCTGGGTCTCATACTTTATTTTGCCCTAATCTTCAAACTGCCCCCTAACACAAATGTCAGCTTTTCATAACAACTGGTAGGGATGTGCAAAAAAAGGGAATAGAGGCGCATTTTTAGAACCAACTGAAATGTATTGAAACAGGCAAAAAGGGAGAGACAAAAAGGAAAACAGAAAACTGTTTGCTATTAACAACAGCAAAGGCATTTGGTGCTTGATTCCTTTCCCACAAGTGTTTTAGACCGGTGTTTTTCAGTTGGCTTAAACCTTGTGTATGTGATCCAAATGAGGCCCCAGATTTGGAAGCTTGCACAAAGAGCCACTCCTCAAACAAGAAACCCCACCCAAATCAGCCACCCTGAAACACCAGCAATGTCTCTAAGACAGTTCTGTTCAACCTCTGAATACCCATCTCCACTGGGCAATGGATTTTTTCAACCATATTGTACTGATATCCTAGCACCCGAGTCCAGAAACTTGTATAAACTCCAAACACAAGCTTACCGTCAATTAACGTTTTCAATGAAAATGTCTTGATCCTCAATTGAAATCCTTCTGGAAAAGACATTCTAGCAGGGATATGCAATTATCAGATCAAGATACGGTACATTAAAATAAGGGATAAATGTTTTCTGGATGCAAAGAGAGCTGTTTACCTGAATTCCTATTCATCAAGATGAAAAGTTAAATATGCTATGAACACAGATCAGATATGAAAAAAATCTCTCTGGGAAGCAATGAATGTAAATGTCTTGGGGCTAGGATACCTAGATACCCAGTAACAACATCATTTGTAACCAGATTATCCTCAGAAATGATAAATTCATGCTGTGAAGAGACAATAGTTTATCTCATCACAGGATAATCCTGTTATAAATTATTTTGCAGTCAAAATGTGCTGTAAAAAGATTTCTCATTTGGGCAAACATCCGAAGCACATATTGCAGTTCTCCACTGACTGAGTTATTTGTAACTGTACGTTTCATCTCTTATCCCATACTTAAATATATTTATAAAATGCTTGGAATAACCAGTGATTAAACAAAGGAAGATACAGCTGGCTACATAAAGAACAAGATCTATTTTTCAGCCCAGAGTCCTGAAATATACTTAATATTAAGGGTTAACATTCAATATAGCCAAAACTAGAGAAAGATTGCTTCATGATGTCAGCATGACTACTGAGCACAGCAACAAATGAGCATAAAAACACTATACTTTAAAGAAAAGCTTCCTCAAAATCACATGGCTCCTTGGAAAGTCAAATATTATGAGTTTACCAGCTGTACAAAAGGTACCTTCATATCAACTCTACTTTTTCTGCTATTTCTTTCAATACCAGGATAGTGAAACTGTCCTTGAAATCATCATAGAATATAAATTACATGTTTAAGTTCCTGCTAAGTGACATGAAGAGGACAAGGCAGATATTGTAAAGTAGAAACGAGCCTACAGGCAAGTGAAAAAAGTGAAAAACCATTCCCTCTTACATGAATCTGAGGAATTGCTTAAAATGAGGGTTTCACTGAAACAGAAAGCATTACTGTGCTCTCCTCTTAATCTTGCCCCACCACAAACACTTCTGTGCAAGCTACATCACTTTTGCTCCAATACAAAATCCCATTACCAGCCAAGTTCTTACTTTAAAATAGTGAAGAGAAACTATTATATGGTATCTTGAGGGCAGACTTATGTACAGCTGGAAAAAGCAAAGAAGATTCTCTTTATACCGACAAGGAATCTCCTACCTCATTCTATGCCAAGGCCAGCCAAAATAGGAGGCCTCCCGAAGTGATGGCTGCATAGACACTCAGGATCCCATGACCTATTTCTCCTCCCCTCCCTGTGGTTGACTGTTAACCTAACCGCAGAAGCAGCAGTAGCATTTCACTGGTGCTCTTATATAACATAACAACATACTGAAGATAAATACCCAGTGACACCTACTATGTTTGTATGGGATGCAACTCATTTCAGAAAGACACCCTGGGCATCTCTCTATGTTGCCACCCTATGGAGATGTAGTGATGTGCTATGTTGCCGTACAGTGTGCTACGGCAACATAGTGATCATGTGGGTCTCCACGTGATCACTAGCTACATCGCCATAGTGGCATGCTAATCATGTAACTGCCCATACTCCACCATGCTTTAGTACTTCCAAAAGGAAGTACTAAAGTGTGGCATCGTAGCAATGGTGCCGTACAGCAATGTGTAGATGCGCCCCCCTTGTTTTAGTCCATTGCAAGGCTTTTATTCTACTTACTGACCAATGAATACAATAAGCTGTTTTTAAAAACCGTGTATCCATTAATTAGAACAAAAGAGCAATTTTACATAAAATTTTCACATATTTCAGCTCAGATATGGCGAGTCATTTATCAGCATACCACGCGACTCAAAAACAAATGAATACGCAAACCTATGTCATAGTTTCATAGATTTAGGGTCAGAAGGGACCTAGTAGATCTTCTAGCCCGACCCCCCGCCAGGGTGGGAGAACAACAAAACCCCAAAACAAGAAATGGGACTCAAATGAGTCCAGCCAGGTAGGCATCCAGCCTCTTCTTAAAGACCCCCAGGGTAGGGGCCAGCACCACTTCCCTTGGAAGTTGGTTCCAGCTCCTAGCCGCCCTAACTGTGAAGTAGTTTTTGCGGATGTCCAATCTATACCTCCTCTCCATCAGCTTGTGCCCATTACTCCTTGTTATGCCAGCGGGCGCTAGGGGAAACAGCGTCTCCCCCAAACCCTTCTGGTCCCCCCTAGTGAGTTTATAGACGGTCACCAGGTCCCCCCTCAGCCTTCTCTTGTGGAGGCTGAATAGGTTCAGGTCCCGCAGTCTCTCACTGTAGGGTCTGCCCTGTTGTCTCAAGACTCTGAACCAGAGATGATGCCTGGGAACCAAATTTATAAATTTATAAGCGTGGATTAGTAGATTATTTGCTCAAATATCAATTCAAGTTATTAAAATAACAAAATCATCAAATACTACCATAGTAAGTGTAAAAAAGAAGCCATGGAGACTTAATTAGATCTGTACCTCCTACACCACATTCTACTACTTTGCTAAAGACTGAAAAAGTTTAAAAGGGAGGTTGTAAAACCCCAAAGATTTGTTTCATTATTAGGATTATGGTTTAGATCATGGTGAAAAAATGAAAAGGAAGTCCAAATACTTACAGGTTATCTTTTTTCTTCTTTTTGTATGGATCCATTAGACGAAGAGTATCTCTGATCACAGCTACTTTCACTTCCTCATCAACGGGGCTCGGAACATTTTCAAACACCCCTGGAGAAAGCTTTAATTTGCAAAAGGATACAAGTGTTCAGTGCAGAACTGCTGCTTATTTATTATAAAGCTGCTGAAGTCTTAATCATAGCCCTTAGGTTTTAAATAACAGTGACACGACAGAATACTTCAATAAAAATGATCTTTTAACACATTCAAGATGACACGACAAGTTTAGTCAAGCCCCCTAAAAAAAAAAAAAAAAATGGGAGGAGAAAAAGATCATAGCCACCACTTTTACCATTTATATTAAGTACAAAAACAAAAGAAGAAATGGTTAGCATTCCCCTAAATATAATTAATTCAACTGCAAGGGATGTTGAATAAATATATTTACGACAGAGATGATGGAGAGCTTTCACAATTTTGATAAGTCATGTTTCAAGAGTATAAGATTAGCAGTGACTGTAAAGCAAAGAATTACAAAGAACCTTACTAGTTTCATATTAGCAGACAGCTTTCATCTTTCAAAAAAAACAAACAAACAGAAAAACCCCCCAAAAATAAAAAAACCACGAAAGCCAAACTTAAAAAATTATATTCCAAAGTCACTGTCAAGCTGAAAGATCTTACCTCTTGTTCATGTTCTATTCTCATGCTGGGGTTTGCATTTACTTCGAGTAACACAGGCTTCAAGTTTTTCATTAGGAGAATGTCAAACCCTAAAATCTGTGCATAACAAACAATACAACATTACTTTCACCCTCTCCAGTGCTTTTTAGAGAACTCTGCTTCCTGCTATGCTCTATGCAGATGCTGTATCCATCCAAAAGGACCGTTCTCCTACCTGATCGATGGCACAGGACAGTCCAGGAAGGTTACCTAAATTCTTTGTTTTTCACCCCCACACTTGAGGTGGCGCATCTGCAGAAGAGGCAGGCCAAAACCCTATTCCCACACAAAGTCTTAATAAACAACTTTAACTACTTGTGGGCAGGTGGCCACACTTAATGGTGAAATACTCATTCCTATCATTCTTTCCTTAAGACAAAGACCTGGGTTCATTTCTTGGCTCTGCCCCAGACTTCCTGTTTGACCTGATCTATGCCTCACATCCTCACCCATCTCTTACATTTTTTGTCCGCTTAGATACTTAGAATAATCTCTTTGAAATAGGGACTCTCTTAACATATCTATACAGCACCTCCCATGACAGGGCCCTGATTTCTTCAAGGGTTTCTTTGGCATGGCCATCTGGCCTTGCTGAGCCATCTAAGCATCCTCTGGACATAACAAATAGTTTCAAGTTGACCTCTGAAACAGAGGGTCCCCCTTTGAAAGAATCGCGCTGGACACACCACCTGCTTGCCCTTAACTGGTTGATGCAACTTGGTGTTTTAGCAGATCTTGTTCAGAATACTGACTGTGGAAAGGAGGGTAAGAGACTACCACTGTCTCCAGTTCACCAGATTATTCAGTAACACACACACGCCACTCCTATGCGGCTGATGGGAGTGGGGGAGAAGGGAAAGGAAATTAAACTGCCTGTATTTTCACAACATCTCTTTGTTTTGCCCATGACAATACTTTTTCAGCAAACACAATGATTTGCATGGCACATGGCCCCTTGAATGCTGCCTTTTGGAGGCTATTAACAAACTGCAAAGGACCATAAGCATGTATGAAAACCCACTACTCTTCTACAGAGGAAACCACTGGATTCATCTAGTTATTATGTGTGACTAGGATACATATTTGTTGCTGTTTAGTGGCTCCTTGCTGTGGGGAAGGAAAAAAAAAGTCTGAGATGTATTTATCAGCAAAGCATTTTATTGTAGATGTAGACACTAATTGGTAAATTGCTGCTTCAGTGGTTATTCTCACTGTAATGATAGAGTTTGCTAATATAATCATAGCCTGTACCTATTTTTCTGGCAAGACCTGCCCAAATTACAGTTCTGGAAGGTCACTTGTGATGTTGGACATTTCATGCAAATCAACTTTCTTCCTTTTCTCTTAAAAAAACAACAGCAAAAATCCCAAGCAGAGGGAGGACATTTTCCCTAACTTAATGAGATGTTCAGAGTAGACATAAAAGCACTTAAACAAATGGGTTAGAAACCATAGTGTAACAGACCACCTAACTTCTGGGAGTGGCAATAACCAGTGTTAGTCTTTCATGTGCACAATACAGATGGTCACCCAGATCTTAAAATCTGGTAGGAAGAAACCAGAGAATAGCACTAGGAAATGTGCTGAATAAATGTTAGGCCCTTCCTTCCAGCATGTACCTTTGGTCATCGGTGACCTTCAAAATGCTTCTATCTAAATATACATGCTATAGTCATCACCATGAAGTTGAAGCATCTTTGATAGACAAGATTTGAAATTAGCAGTATCAGTGCTGCATTGAATCTGCTCAGCACAACCACCGGAAGTTTCCTAGTGAAGTGAACACAGCTACAAGTGACTGAAAACCCACAGAAGCACTCAGGGCAACTGTTTCAGAGTAGAGGTAAAAGTACCTCTAGTGACACTCTAGATTGTGAATGTTTAAGGGGCACTGTTCAGCATAAAGCTATTCTCCCCACTAGTAATCAACAACAGAATGACAAGAAAGCTTTAATGAGAAGAACTTAACATACAGAAAATTAATCCATGTGTAAAAATAATTGAACTCCAATTTCATTATAGAAAGAAAACCAGCAAAGAAAGTGATGCACTCTCATGGGAATGCACCATCTAAATCAAAATTCCTAACCTACCTGGAAGCAAGTTGGCCCAGGTTTTCCTGTTGGTATATCAGACTGGTAATAAACTTTCAGTTCTGGAGTCAGTGCAACAATCGTTTTAATCACCAGTGAAATGATATCTGACCACACTTTCTTGATGTCAACCCCTCTGGAAGACAATCTGTAGAGGATGCTTGAAAAAGTCCTTTTGCTGCCAGTGTTTACACTGTCTGAATGGATGAAGTTCCCACTGTGAATATTCAGTGAATAGTTTGTTAAGTGCATGAATACCTGGTGCAAATTTTTGAGGGTAGGTTCTTGATAGGGCTCTGTACAAAATCTAGAGAGTCCGTCTTTGGCTATGTAAATTTCTAAAGGTTCTAAAGATTTCAGTAACACATAGAGACGGATATCAAATTTCAGCTTGTCAATCAGCAGTGGTTTACAGATGTATTCCTGGACAACAGCTGGCCTGCTCTGTAGGTTTCCAGCCAATCTAATGTCACTGGGATCTTTAATGAGGTAGATTCCATCCCCTTGACATCCTCCATCAGGTTTCACAATGAACGCGGGCTTCCAAGCTGGGTCATTTTCTTTCATCATGCGAACCTACAAAGGAAGGAAGAAGATAATTATGTTAATAAGGGCCATGAAATACAGAGAAAGAATTCTTTGGTTATTGCAGAAAGAAAAACTTCAGTGCTATGACATCTCAAAAGAAATCCTACTTACAAGCAGCCCATGCAAAAACTACACATAGACAGCAAAGAGAGGTAAGTATAATGCAGGTAAGAGTGGAAGATACTTATGTTGACAAATCCACAAGACCAGACGAATAAGGTGAATGGGGAGTTACTGAGCTAGAGAAAACCTTGTTGTATACAGGATCCCAGAAACCTCCCTCCAGCACAGTGCGACGCTTCTGTTTGAAACACTTCTTGTTAACGAGGATTGCTACTGCGGCACATGACTCACTAATATAGATCTAGTTTGGAGACTAGGCTTTTGTGCAGCATCTGATACTTACTCAGGAGGAGAGGCTCATGAAACCTGAACAAGCAGCCTTGTAGACAAACGATACTGAGAGAAAGGAAGACAGGGTAGCTGCCTGGCAGAGATTTTTATTCAATTTGGGTTTCACCAGGTTACATCCTCTGGGGGTGGGGTTACATCCTCTGTCATCCTGAAGACACTGTGCATCCACTGTTATCCAATACTCCCACCAGCAAGAGCCCAGAATGTCTTCCAGTCCGATTGTCAGATCATTCCACAATGGCATGAAAGAAGTCTCTTCCCAACACTTCCCCAGATCTCGACCATAAAGTTAATGTGTAAAACACAAGTCCATGTTGTGCCTTTATTCAAAAAGACTTGTGCAAACCAATGTTTTAATCAGAAGACATGCACTAGACTTTTTTGCCAAGTGCTTACCTTCCCTAGCAACAGCAATGTGGTATTAAGGATGAAAGAACATTTCCAGCCCTAATGAAAGTAACTCCAGTTCTTTTGCTTGTAAGCACTGCACAAGGAAGTCAGTTCATTTCCAGACTTGAAAAACATTAACATAAATGGCCTTTTCTTAAGCTGTGTTTCCAAAGCTAGCTGGGGCACAACACAGATCTGTAAATCTAGTGAATTGCTATAATGGTAACAAAGAAAAAAAATCTTCAAAACATGAAATAAGCACAACAGATGCAAAAGCAAATGCCTAAGTTGGCAGAAATCTTTAAACAATATGAGATGCATCTGCCCCATTCTTCCCATCAGACAATAACTCTGATACTGATTCCGGTTTTTAATACCGCATAGCCTGGGTACAGCAGCAGTGAGACTGGTATCATAACTTATTTTCCTGAAATGGAGCTCAGCTCTTCAACATTTGAAAAAGACACAGCTTTAAAAACTGGGACTCTGAAAGCATACCCTCAGCATAATGTTGAGGCTAAGAAAGACGGGCACTTCAGACTGGTGGGCAAACTCCTAATTTGCAAGGAGGGCTGGCACAGAAAGGACCCTCTACGCACTGAGGACAGATAGTGATCTCTCTTCGTGCAATGCTTCAGTGTCATGCAGAGTAGAACACAGGCTTCTGCATCAAGAGGCGTGTCCCTTTATCTCTATCTTTTCTTCATGATTATAGGAAACCTCCATCTTCTTCATCACCTGCCAAGCACATGTCAAGTCTACAAGCATTTTCTGCTGCCACGACTTCACTTCCTCTGCAGGCTATCAAGACTCAGTACCATCAGTTATGTGGCACGGACTTTAGAGCACATTCATAGGGTTACAAGGTTCTTTGGGTAAATGTGATTTATTTTATTAGACCAACTAAGTAGTTGGAAAAATTGTTCTTTGCAAGCTTTTGGGCACAGACACCCTTCTCCAGGCATAGGGAATGTTATGCACACAGTGACTTAAGCCTTCCCACTGTTACTCCTTCCTGAGATACCCGAGGGTACGTTTTCCACCAATGAGTGATTTGTTACCAGACAGACGATACCGCACAAGCTAGGAGCCACTAACAGTAAAATACATCACCAAAACCTATATTTTCTTCCATTGAACAGACTATATACCATGTGCATCTCCTGTGACCAGTTGCCTCTGTTCTTCCATTTGGAGCTGATTACTTCCTGGAAATTACACCAAAGGTACGTTACAGCCTGGCATTCACTGCTAGTCTTCTGATCAACATGAACAAAGAAAAAATTCTTTCCACTCATTTCAGCAACGGTTTTGCTCCACATTAAGGAAATCTGTTGCTGGCAGATTACAATTCATATGTTTTCTCTGAGCATACATAGTGTGAAATAAGCAAGGTGAGGAAAGTAAGTCTGGAGTTTGATGGTATTTAATACTGTATCAAAACCTTTGGTTGAATCTCAAATGCATTACATGCCTAGCCTTGTATCTTTCCCCAGTTAGCACAGCTCTTAGATTTTCAATTTACTTCCCCGATTTCTCCTGTATTGTACTCATTCGGTATGATGCGCGTTGCCCCCTAGTGGATGATTGTAAACAATGGTGGTTATTCGAAACAAACAACAAGCAACACATACAAATTTAAATGGGAAAAATGCTTAGAGAAATAGCTACACAGAATAAATGCTAATTCTTCCACAGATAACTTTGTATCTCAAGATAAATGCTTCTAATTTGCATCTGCATGGTGTGGATTTCTTAGGAAGTATGTCAAGTGCTTTTCACTGTTAATGGGTGATAATGGATTGCCTCCAGAAAAGGACTGTATATATTCCACAATTTTTCATTGCAAAAATGCATCTTGACAATTGAATTCATTATCCTGATGGTTAAAAGGGAGATGCCCTTACTAGAAAGGAAATTATTAGATAAGAAATTTTCTATCCTGTCACATGGCATCTCTCAATAAGCCAGCATGAAGCAGCAAGTCACTGAGGTAGCAAGGTTGGGGAGAAAAGTATAACAAGAAAATAAGGTCTCCCTTAAAAAGCTGATACTTCAAACACCAATCCATGTTGAGCTCTCCATGCCTTCCCAGAAAGGAGGCTGCTGCTGATGAAAGCAAGTCCTCTGCCTAACATGTACCAAGAGCATTGCTTAAGAACCAGGTGGCTGCTTTGCATACTCCTTACGGTGGAGCAGATGCCCTTTTGTCTACGCTGCAACACATTTTTGCAGTGTGAGCCTTTATTACTTGTGGTCCTTGTTTCCCCAGTACCCTGTGACATGGCCATTTCCTTGGCACAATGGCTTAAGTGCTGGGTCCTAGACCCTCACAATAAATACAGGAAGCAGTTCCACCCAAATCTCCACCTGTGGCCTATCAACGTCTGCAAGCACTCAGAGCCTTACCGGTTTCCAAACACGGCCTCAAACTCAAAACCATAAATGGAGCAGGTGAGAATTGCAGACATGTCTATTCACATACAAGCATAAAACATCAGGAATGAGAAACAAATGGGAGTCGCAAAATTCTGAATGGGATCCAGCTGGCCCTCAAAATTTGAAGGTACTTGAATCTGGAGTTTCTACCAGGCCCATTAGTGATTTTTACATATTGACATGAGAAGAGATAGACAGACAGACAGACAGACAGATCTGGCCAGCTTTAATTCCCTAAAGAACCAGTTATCTTATCTGTAAGAAAATTAGATCATTCCACTTGGAAAGAACTGCACTAATACTTGGCAGGACCAAATATAATTATTGTAATAGGGTTACTTAGCCTTTGAACACCACTTGTTAATTCATACATTCATTTAGCAAGAAGTGTTGAGAGGCTAACATCATTCCCAATTGGACACAGTGAATCAGAATTTAACAGGACACTGATAACTAATCTCTGGGCACAAATCTGCACATTTGTAGGCTGCATATCTTCTATCAACACTTTCAAAGACAATATAATTATTTTTTTACATCTGAGAAGAGAACAATCACCCCATCTAAATTGCTTACATTATGACATTCCCAAGAAACAAAGTAAAGTTTTGCAAGCTTCAACTTTATTTCTGAGAGGTAGGACCAACAAAAAAAGAGAAGAAAAAAAAGTAGTAACTGGGTCATTGTGAGCACCTGACAGTATCTGCTGGATATAGGGATCCCTCATGTTACATGAATAACTGCTACTACCGAAGTCTGACTTGTTTGTACACAAGTAATAAGTCTCTATAGTTTGAGTTTTTACTAAGAAGCCTCAATAAGGATAGAGAATATTCTGAGCAGAGGATCAGGAAAAATTCAGAGCAATCCAAAATAAAAGTAAATCATAAAATACGATGTGCTTTAAAACACATTGCAAGGGAAGGAAAGAACATAGGCATATTTTTAAGTTACCAAAGTTGACATGCCTCAAAGTTATTAAGTTTGCCAAAGATAAGTCAAGCCATCTTGGGGGACTGGATGCCTTGGGAGTCTTGAACACATGTGCAGTCCGTTCAAAAGTAGCATCATTGGGCATGTCTACACATGCATTCATGAGCTGTAATTGGCACTCCTGCGCAGTAGCACCAGCACGTGCTTTTTAAGTGACGCCAATGCACAGTAGCCTAATTCTACTGCGCATTAGCACGGCTTTCACCATGATGCACTAATGTGCAGCAGAATTAGTCTGCTGGGCTTTTAGCATCTCATGCAGATGCGACCACCAGTGCTCAAAAGCTGTTGCCATGTGAAGCTTGTTGGCGACTGGAAAGTGCCCTTAGCAGGCCAGTTGTTAACGTACATGTCAGGAATGGCAAAAAATAAGTTTGGCATCCACTGGCAACCTTGTTGGTAGTCTTAGCAGTGAGACCAAGAACTGAACAGGCAACAAAGAATGAGCCATCATGTCACCCTTTACGTCCAGCTCAAAGTAGAACAAAAAACTTTGTACAGCTGTTCTCAGTGCTATATTAGTACTATGGCTACAGTACTACTGTCTCCAAGACTATAAATCCAGCAACCTTCATGAACATTACAGTCACACATTTTACTTGGGAGAGAAAAATAAACACGCTTGGGCACATGCTGCACTTTTCAGAAAAGAAGTCTAAAATGCCAGTTCCCATGAAAAGAGAATGACTACTGACAGACAAAGCTGAGAAATTCAGCCACAGGAGCCTAAACAAGGAGGGCCAGCCAGGAAA